TAAAAATCATAATAAAATTTATGAACAAACTAGACACATTTTATAAACTCTCAGAGTTTAAGGATTCAATTTTCAACTTCGTTTGATTTTTCTGTGATTTTTCTAAATCGGTGCAAAAATGGTAAAAACGAATTTACATTTTACAACTTTCATAACACTTTGTAACATGTTGAGCAAAGTGTTTATCTTTGATGACTTCATACTTTGCATGTGTTTTCTGTTTTGATATGATTATTTAACATAGAAATGTTCACTGAATTGTAAGAGTCCTTTATTATTACAATTAATGCAAGACGAGGCATAATAAACATAGTTATGTTTTTGCTATACATTCTACTTACACAGAAAAGGTTTCTATATGTTACAAACATTTTGATAAACTATAATAGGTATAGTTTATGTTTCATATACATTACAAACAATTAGGATAAACTATAACAAGTCATAGTTTATGTTTCATTACAGCACACCACGAAAGAGTACACTTCTACAAAAAGGGATTTTCAGTTCACTTTACGTAAATCTGTTAATGAATAAATTTGTGAGACATTCGCTTCACGTTACTTCCAAATTAGTGCAACAAAAGTCATGTAATTGTAACCAGAGTCTCTTGTAGGGAGAGCATGATAGTTGTGTATAGATCTATATTAGGTTTGACAAACTCACACCTTAGTTGCATGTAACAGCTAGATCGATAGGTCTAGGGTGACAAATGTCATTAACATTCCAACGTCTGAAGAACGTCGTATACAAGGCCGACTAAGTCATAGCATGGTTATAATAACTCATATGGGGTATTAGCAAAACATAATATTTACGAGATCTCCTTCCAATTAAACGAGTTTATGTCGATTTAAACTTGCATAATTTACAATTTATATGGAAAATACTAGTACATATTAGTCTTGGCATTTAAGACTACAATACATTTTAAAAGGAAAATATTGAATTTTACTGGAACAAACATTACTTTTACAAAGAAATGATTTCAACATTTCATTCAAAAGCTTATTAACTCACCAACTTAATTGTTGACATTTTTTTTAAAATTACTTGTATTCTCAGAAAATCAGTAAAATAGGTAATCAGCTACTTTTGAGGATGGGACGCTAAGGCGTCAAACATTTCATTTTTGTCAACATAATGTAATTGATTTAGAAACATGTAAACTTATACTATGGTGTAACTTTTTTAATTATAATTATGTTGGTTGTGTTTGCTATGATCATTATTATACACGTTGTTATGATCCTGTATATGAAGTCCTCTACCCCCAGACGTTTTCGCCATCATTGGTTTGGGGTGTGATATCGGAGGCAATCCAGATGTGAGTTGTGGGCCCGAAAGGCAATCCAAACTCACACTGTGGGCCAGGGGTAATCCAATCTATAAAGTTGTGGACCTAGTACATGCTGTTATTTGTATATGTGTTATTTGCAGTGTATCGGTATACTGGGGGAACTCACTAAGCTTTGGGCTTACATATTTAGTTTTTGTTTCAGATACCTCAAATGATTGTGGGAAGGCAAAGACGTGATCGTATAGTTTTCTCATGTTTATGACTTTGTTTATGGGATACTCTGATATTTTACTATTTTGAAAACACGTTTTGTAATGATTAATGGTTTTGAAATGTTTTGAAAAAGTTTAAATTTGGCACGATTTTTATGGATGTTACATGTGTCGATCATTATATCCCTCTCCAACGATCTGCAGCCTACCGTCTCCATCTTTGAAGCCTTATGTAGAAAGACCTTTCTTGCCAATAAGGTGCTCAGTAGTATTCATGAACAACTTTGATATATGCAATATCTTCAGAACTCTTATTTAATATATAATTCCCTTTTAGGGGTATCCGGCGATCTTTGGGGATTCAATAGGAACTTGTTGTAGCATGAAAAATGCAACAAGAACCATGAACTTTTTGTAGCAATGAGTCCAAATTGATGTGTTTGTGCTTTTATTTGTTGTTTTGTTTTCTAAAGTTAGTCTTACATAGTTGTTTTATTCTAGGTTTTATAGAATCGAAAGACCATTGGATGTTGTTTGGTGTGTAATTGATCATATACAATAAAATTAGCAATAATTATATAATTAAGGCTGAAATAATTATTTTATGTGAAATTGCTACAATTATGTTTCAAATGCTACTAACAGATAAATATTTTTACCAATTATGTTTCAAACTACTTTGGTTGAACAATGCGTTTTACCTAGACTTCAAAGCTATATTTATAAACATTGCGGCCAGGAGGTGATGATATTGATAGTATAGAAAAAAAAAAAGAATAGGTAGAAAAAGACAAAAACCATATTTGCATTTAACATTTTCACATGCATAACCTGGCAGCTCAACATTGCCGCCAGTGTTTGTGGCTATTGCAGGACAATGTTGCCCACATAAAATACTGACGACAATTAATGAGCCTAAGATTGGAGAGAGTGTTAGCACTCTTAGTACCTTGTTACATAGTTTTTTTTTATTGACACACAAGCATAACATGTATATGTTGAAAAATGTAGGAAGTGGTAATGTAAGGAGTTTAATAGGTTTTATTTTGAAAAAAAAAAAAAACAAATAGCCACAACCAATCACAACAAGCCCTTTCCTTCACTCTTCTCTCGCTACGTCCGTAGCAACCCTGGCTTAGTGAGTCCCCTAGCGGAGCTAGGGGCGGTGTTCCTTCTCCTAGCGAGCCCCATAGCAACTCCACTCCTCATAGCAGTGGCGGCCCTGGTGGTGCCAGTGGTGCGGTCGCACCAGGCCTTCGATCTTAGTGGGGCTCCAATTTTTGGGATAATTTATAGTTATAGTATTGGTATTTTTGTAAAATATATTTTTATGTTTTATCAATAAATATAATTAGCCTAGTAACATTTGGTTCCAATTTTAGATGCAGTTTAATTATGAAAAAAAAAATCAACAAAAATCAAAATCTAATTATAAATTTAAAATTTATCATCAATTTAAGGAAAATATCTATATCTAAAAAAAATGCAAATTTGTTTTCTTTATAAAACTTTGACAACGTTTTTATACTTTTATAAACTCACCAAAAAGTAAGAAAAAATCAGACCCTACAAAACCTAGTAATTGTGTTACTCATCTCTCGTCTTTTGGCTTTTGTTGTTGTGAATATCTCTTTGATTACTTACTGCAAATTAATGTTAGTATATCATCACTTTTAATTTTTCAACTATCCTTATCGCTTGATTGATGTGCTTTGCTTTCTGTCATCTCTCCGTGTTTAATGCTCCATAAAGTTAATGAATAATGAAAATGTTGTTCGTTTATTTTTTATGTATTGGTTTGAAAAGGATTTGGATTGTGCGAGAGCTATAGCTTTTGATTTGGAAATTGATCCAATGTTTGTTGAGAAAAATAATAAAAGAATAGTTGTTAAAAAAACTTTTGATGAAAATGTCGTTGGGTCATTAGAGCTGGTACATGAACTTTCACTTCAAAAGTCATTTAGGATTCAATATTTTGTGTACATAGTTAATCAAACTATTGGTTCATTGGAGCGAAGGTTGAACAATACAAACAATATGAAGACATTTTTTGTTTCTTATTCACAGCAGAAAAGTTGAAGTCAATGAATACTAGCGAGTTAAATTCATGTTGCAAAATTTTGGAGAAGATGCTGCAAAATGGTCATATCTCAGACATTGATGTTGATGATTTATTCAACAAACTAGAGTCGTTACAAAAACATTTACCGGTTGAACACAATACAGCTAACAAAATACTAAATTTCTTAAAAATGATGAACACTTATCCACTTTCTTATCTAGCATACAAAATATTATTGATTGTTCCTATTACAGTTACATCAACGGAAAGAATCTTTTCAAAACTAAAGTTTTAAAAATCTTATTTGCGTTCGACCATGTCTCAAGAGAGATTAAACGCTTTGACATTGATTTCGACTGAGAAAAAGTTTCTTGAGAATATTGATTATGAAAGTCTCGTAGATGAATTTTCTTCTAAAAATGCTATAAGGTCGATGTTTAGAAAACAGTAATGCATTGTTGTTGTTTTTTTTTAAAGTTGTTTATAATAGTTTTACAGTTTTATTTGATTACCAACGAGTGAAGACATTATTTTGTAGCAGTGAATTTATGAGATATTTTTTAGCAACTTTATGTTTTGAATTAGTGGTAACAAATGTAGTTAATAATATTTACAAGAAATTTTTTATGGGGGCTCACTTTAGTTTTTGCACAAGATCTCCAAAATATCAGGACCGGGCCTGCCTCATAGTCTAAGGCGGGAGGGAGTGGTAGCCCTCGTAACACATTGTCATATAGGTTTTTTTATTGACACATAAGTTTTTTTTAATTGTCATGTAAGCTTAGCATGTTTACATTGAAATATATAGGAAGCGGTGGTGTGTAGTTTTAAATAGATTTTATTTTGAAAAAAATAAAAAAAGTAAAAAAATAAAATACCAACAGCTAATCAAAACTCATTCTTATCATTTTCTCTATCCTCTATCCTCTAGTTAAGCACTTAGCAATAGCCCTTTAGTGAGACAGAGGGTGATGTTGGCTTGTGCTAGCAAAGGTCTTAGCAACCGACCTGCGACCCGCACTTATTATGTAAATATTTTTTTTTGACAAAAATGCAAAAATGGTCCCTGTGGTTTGACATTTTTTGTGGATATGGTCCAAACCTTTTAAAAATTGGATTTCTGGTCCTTATTGAAAGGTTTGTTTGTGGAACAAGTCCCTGGGGTTAACAGTCGTTTGTTTGTGGCTGTTAAACCCCTCATGTGCATTGCACACGAGGGCATAAATGTCTTTTTACTTGAGGGACCATTTTTACAATTCCTGAAATAAACCCGCTTGTTACAGTCTTAGCACCATATTACACACAAAATCACAAAATATTTAGTTATCTCTTCCACTTCCATCTTCTTCGTCATTCGTTTTGAACGCAAAAACCCTAATCAAGATTTGGTCCAAGGTGTTTACTTGTTTTTGCTTTTCAACTGTAAATGGTGTTCGTAATGTGGGCGATTAGGCCAAAAGGCGAGACGTATGACATCACAAATGAATATGGTTAGTTTCACTTATCCTCTGTTTACGAAATTGTGTTAGGTTTCTTGATGATCTGAAGAACAGAGCCAAAAATACAAACATCTGATAATTTCTTACTTAATGTTTTTTGTATCTTGTAGAGCATGTACCAACAATGTTCATCATAAAGCTACACCATGGTGGAAATTTTACGAAGCTTCCAAACACGAAATATGTTAAAGGTGAAGTGTGATATATTGATTTAGTAGACATTGATGAGTTCTCAGTTCATGAACTAGACGCAATGATGCTAGAGCTAGGTTACTTTGTACCCCCAGTAATATATTACCATTTTAGGATTCCTCATGAAGACTTGGATTTTGGCCTCAAAGCTTTAGGGAATGATAATGATGTCTTGAATTTGGCTCAGTATATTGGAGATAACAAGGTCACTGAAGTGTATACAGAACATGGAAAAACTAATTTGCTGACCTATTTTATGTCTCCAAAAGGAAAGCAAAAAGTTATTATTAAGGAGCTCTGTGATGGTGATCTTCCAAAAGAAGCAAATGTACCTCAAGTACCAGCAAAGGATAAAACCCCTATGATAGATGAAGCTAATGATCAAACACAGTTGGCATGGTATATGTCCTTGATACTCTTTGACAAAGTCCCTACACAAGTTTCACCACAGTATAGAAGAAATGGAAGGGTGAACTCAATAGTTGGTCAAAGTTCTTGTGCCAAAAAGCTTTGTTTAGTTGAATTGGATGATGTGGTAGAAGATCAAGGTGGTGATCATGCTAAATTGGATGATGTTGTACAAGATCAAGGTGGTGAGAATCCTAAATTAGATGATGTGGTACAAGATCAAGCTGGTGAGCATGCTAACATGAATGATGTGGTTCAAGATCAAGAGGTTGAGCATGCTAACATGGATGATGTGGTACAAGATCAAGGTGGTGACCATGATAACTTTGATTATGATGAATTTCATTATGAGAACTTTTCTCATGATCACTTTGATCCTTTTGATGGAGAACATTATCAACCACCAGAAGATGAGAATGTTGAAGACCATCAGTCTGAACATGAAAAGTCTGCTGACAGTGATGATCTTAGGCAACAATCAGAAGAACAATATGATGAACTTGTTGATGATGAAAACAATGTATCAGAAGTGGAGGTGGATATGACTGACTTTAACCTCAATCTTGATAAGGATTATGGTTGTGTTCAAATGGATGGGTTTCATAACGGGGCTTGGGACAAATGATGAACATGAGGACATAGAAGTCATTGACAATGATAGATGGGATTCTTTAGATGAAGGGTCAGAAGATGAAACGAAAAGAAGATGTGTTCTTAAAAATCTGGCTAAGGAGAAAAGATGCAGTCTTGGCAATGTCCATAAGGCCAGTTTTTATGTTGGGCAAAAGTTTAAATCAAAGAAAGAATTGAAAGAAAAAATTGACATGCACGCACTAGAAACTAGGAGGAATTTATATTATAAAAAGAATGACAAGCTTAGACTTCGGGCATTGTGTAGAGGTGTAGTCCCTGTCATCAATGCAAGTGGGGTGGTTGGCCTTAATCCCAAAAATAAAACCAAGGGCAAAAAGGTAAATTCAGAAAAAGTAAACTGTAGTTGGTTCCTTCATGCTTCTAGGTCAAACACAGAATCTCCCTGGTTTGTAAGGACATTAAATGACAACCATACTTGCCTTCAAAGTAGGAAGATTAGAGCTTGCACTGCTACTTTTATATCCAAGCGAATCATGGACCAAATCGACATGAATCCAGGGATTCCACTTCGAGCATTGCAGGAACAACTTCAAAAGGACTTTGAGGTAGGTATTTCTATTGACAAAGTATTCAGGGCCAAGGCTATTGCTACTAAGATCGTGGAGGGTGACTATACGAAACAATATGAGATATTGAGGGACTATGTCCTTGAATTGCAAGCAACCAATGTTGACACAACTGTCTAGATTGATGTTTACAGTGAACAAAACCCATCAAACCCAACGAGGAGGTTTAAAAGAATCTACATTTGCTTAGGTCCCCTGAAAAAAAGGTTTTAAGGCTGGCCTAAGGGATCTTTTGGGTTTCGATGGTGCGCATATGAAAGGACCATTTCCTAGGCAGGTTCTAACAACAGTTGGGTTGGACTCTAACAATGGTATTTACCCCCTTGCTTATGCCATTGTTGAGACAGAGAACAAAAGTAGTTGGGTATGGTTCTTGCAGAGTTTAGGAGAAGACTTGGATCTTGGTTCAAACTCTAACTTTACTTTTATCACAAATCGACAAAAGGTATCTCTTTCTAACTTGTATTATTAATTACTTATTATTATATAAACTAAATACTTAATTTTTGTTATTGTTCTAGGGTTTAATACCAGCAATAGCCCAACTATCCCCATGTGCTGAGCACAGGTATTGTCTCATGCACATACATCAGAACATGAGAGTGAAATGGAAATTAAAAGAGTACAAGGATCATTTATGGAGATGTGCAACTGCAACCACTGTACCTGAATTTGAGCATTGCATGAAAGAATTTAGCAACTATGACAAGGAGGCATGTGAATGGCTTAGAAAGATTCCTCCAAAACACTGGGCAAGAAGCCATTTTACAGGTACATAAATTACCATAAATTACTATATGTTAAATGTGTACTTGTACTTAAAAGAATATGTTAATTTTTTTAACAGGCAGAGCAATCTCTGATATAATGTTAAACAACCTTTGTGAGGTATTTAACAGCAAGATAATAGAGGGAATAGATAAGCCTATCATAGGTTGTTTGGAGTATATTAGACAATACCTGATGAAGAGAATTTGTAATGTTATGAAGGTGATGGACAAGGCAAAAGGGCCTTTAACACCCACTGCAACAACCATATTGGATGTAAACAAGTCTCATGCATCACATTACATTGCTAGGTGGAATGGGGGTGAGAAATACCAAGTCACTGGGGCATGGCAAGACCAACATGTTGTAGATGTTAGGAACAACACATGTACTTGCAGGAAGTGGGAGCTAATAGGCATCCCATGTAAACATGCCATTGCAACCCTTTATGAAATGACCAAGAACTCGGAGGATGTTGGTGACATTTACAGGTGGGTCAATAAGGTATACTGGTTGGATACATGGAAGAATGCATATTCCTATAAGGTAGAGCCCATAAAAGGAAGAATAATGTGGCCTAAAAGTTTGTGTCCCACAACACTTATCCCTCCAACACATCATAAGCAACCAGGTAGGCCTACAAAGAAGAGGAAGAAAAGTGAGGATGAAAAATTGAGTCAGAGTCAAAGAGGGAGTCAAAGTCAGACTGGTACTCATGGTGTAAGTCAGGAAGAAGGCTGTAAAGTGGGTCCTGATGGAGTTCAAAAATTAACAAGGAAATATGTCAGTGTAACATGTGCAAAATGCAAAAACAAAGGTCACAACTCAAGGACATGCAAAGGTCAAGGCGGTAGAAGTTAGGTGGAAGTTGAAGATCAAGGTTGTGTTTGTTTTGGCAGATGTTATTTGCTACTTTTGGAAGTGTTTTGATGTTAAAAAACTTATGACTTATGGTTATTTTGGTTTTCATTAGTATGATAAGTATTAGAACATATATATATATATATATATATATATATATATGGTTGCATATTTTGGGATAATGTAATTGCACTATATGCTTGTAGTCTATTATGTAATTGCAGCCTTGGTTATTATGGTTTTTGGTTATTATTGTTTATTATAACCATTACAGTCAATTATTCACATTAACCTTTCTTTCACCTTACAAAAACTACAAAGAACCTTACAAACAACATAAGCAATTCCATAAAATTCATTTTTGTCAAAGCAAGACAAAAATCAACAGTTGTCCAAATTTCTTGCCATTGACTTTGATGATGAAGAAAATGAAGATTTGGAAAATGAGAAGCTGGGACAAAAGGCAGTTGTTAAGTACAACCAACTGATTGGAATTCATACAAAGAACCTTACAAACAACATAAGCAATTCCATAAGCAAAAACTACAAATAACCTTACAAACAACATAAGCAATTCCATAAAATTCATATTTATATCAGGAAGTCATTTACTACATAAACAGCTTACTTTGACCTTACAAACAACTATAAAGAGCCTAGGTCAAAGTACCAAAAACCATTAATCCACCAAAAAACCACACTTTTATCGATCTCCAACAAATAAAAACCTACCCCATTTACCTATTACCTAAACCTAAACAGACCTTATGAACAAAATCACAAAAAACACCCAACTAGCCAGCAACATGATCTTTAGAGCTGTGCACCAAGCTTGCATTCGGTTAATATTTCTCAATAGTCCAGGAATAATGACTTTAGACCTTTCACACATGGGGGGATCAACCCATCCGATGAAGCGACAAGCAGAATCCTTCAAAAAAGGGAAAATAACAAATGTTATTTGATTACAAATCAAAATGGGTGCAAACAAATTTCTTTACCTTTTGAGGGCAAGCATAGAAACGTATGCCTGGGTTCTTCGGTGTCCATGAGCATTTAACAACAGCAAACTTACCACAAAAACAGAGAACCATCGTGTGATTAACTGACACCCCAACTGTTAACAAAGAGAGATGAGAGATGGAAGAGAGAATGAAGAACAACTTGAAAGTTGCAGAACAACGTTTGGGGAAGAACTTGAACGTTGGGGAAGAACGTTGGGGAAGTCTTTATATATTATTTCAAGAATTGTAAAAATGGTCCCTCAAGTAAAAAGACATTTATGCCCTCGTGTGCAATGCACGTGAGGGGTTTAGCAGCCACAAACAAACGGCTGTTAACCCCAGAGACTTGTTCCACAAACAAACCTATCAATAAAGACCAGAAATCCAATTTTTAAAAGATTTGGACCATATCCACAAAAAATAACAAACCACAGGGACCATTTTTGCATTTTTGTCTTTTTTTTTTTTTTTTTTTTGTAAGTATAAAACTCCAGATGACTCACGTTCCTTGCGGGGGTAATAAGGTCATTTACGCAAAGAGTGCTTTATGGCGAGATCCCGTGTGCGGCACCAGCACCGAAAAGTCTCTCTCCTTTTTCTCCGCGCCATTAGGAATTAAGAAGTCCCGTTTTCGTCGCCAATACTTACATAAATGACGATATGTATCCATTGATAATTGTATCGAAACACTGTTGCAGCTGCCAAATGCAAATAATGCTCGATTAACCACCCAGATACTTTATAGCAGCCTGCTTCTGGTGTTGAATTCCCGATTTCAGGTCAGAGATATCTCGTATTCCTCTACCTACTTCTGTAATCACTAATGTATGTTAATTTGTATGGATTGAATTTCTATTTGAAATTAGAATTTTTACATGCTCAATGCAAATGTTTATGCATGCTATAATCTATATGCTTTAATGTGTGTGTGCTTTGAACTGTTTTTTTTTTTTTTTTTTTTTAATTTTATATTTGTATGTCTGTTTGATTTGACTTCGTTCAGCTGGTATAATTGTGAGATTTTACATCTGACGTTGATTAGACTAACTAGTTTCTATACTCCATTTCGTCCAATTCAATTTCGTAGTTGAAACTGCTTGTTCTTTTTTCTCTTGGAAGGGGTGATTTGGCACCATTTAACCTAGCTTAATAAAATAACCTATAGATACATTACTAGAAGTGCTAGTGTGACATGATCATACGGTTTCCAGATTAAGGAGAAATTAATCACGTTTATCAGTTTGATTATGTGAAAACTTTGTTACTATTACTTCCCTGTAGTAATTTTAATACTCGATAATATTTGTAGTTTTAACTCTAGGATTTGTTATGATTATTCATTCTCTTGACAGGAATAAATGGCTACAATCTCACTAGCAGATATTGCCTTCCAGACCCATCCACACCACCTTTTTGTTTCCTCAGGCATCGGTGGATCTAAATCGTATGTCAGTCCCAAGAAATACACACTCAACTGTAGAAAGCACTCCAATAGTAAAAGGTTTATTTATATTACCTTTCTTACTCACCTTACTTTCAAATGTTCATAAATTTGTTAGACTCCGACATGTAATCTTTGCAGAAAATGCTTACACAAAAGTCACCGCATGTTCAAATCAAGTAACTTTATGTGCTGCAGTGTGGTATGTTATACTCCTTTAGTTGTAAGCTGTTGAACATCATTGTTATTGACACTATTTTGATACCCATGGCATAATGCATGAAAAGGAAATAGCAATATCAGAAGGTTCAATAACTGTTGATAATGGTGGAAGACTAGCTCTTGTAGTTGATGATGATTCTCAAAAGTCAAAATTACTCAGTGATGGACCACGTAGAGAAATACCAGACTGGATGGCACGAAGGATAGGCTCTGTTCGTCCTAAGTTTCCTCCTAAAAAGATTGACATTTCTGAAGTCAACACATCAAAATTCAAGTCTTTGGAATTGCCTAATCCTTCTGAAGTATGGTCAATTGCAAAAGCAAAGCCAAAAGATGGGGACACATTAATTGAACATGTGATCGAGAAAGAGTTAATTGAAAAGAAACGGAAGTCTCTAGAACGTGCTCTGCAACGAAAAACCATTCAATGGCAGAAGACCCCAGAAGAAATAAAACTAGGTTCTTTTTTAATCTTTTCTTTTCTATTTATTTTGCCCATTATGTGTAATTTGACTTGTTCTTTGCTTCACAAATCACAGAGCCAGGAACTGGCACAGGACGTGAGATAGTGGTTAGTAATTTTATATAAATTTGCTACAATTTTTGTTCTTTCATTGATCTCTGATAAACTGTTTCCATAGTTTCAAGGTTTTAATTGGGAAAGTTGTAGAAAAAAGTGGTACATGGATCTGGCTCCAAAGGCTGCAGATTTATCTCGCTGTGGTATAACAGCAGTGTGGTTACCTCCTCCAACTGAATCTGTTGCTCCACAAGGTCTTTATGACTTAAAAACATTTACTTTGAAATTAAAAAAAAAAAAAATTACATGGCATGATATAAAAAGTGTTGATACATTTCATGGAATGATTTCAGGATACATGCCTTCTGATCTATACAACTTGAACTCAGCATATGGGACACAGGAGGAGCTGAAGCATTGCATAGAGGAGATGCACCATCACCATCTTCTGGTATTATTTAGTCATCTTTAAAAAATAGTTTGGAGGAAAATCTGATGATACATAAATATGTTTTTTTTTTTTTTTAAATCTTTTACAGGCGTTGGGAGATGTTGTACTAAATCATAGATGTGCTCATAAACAGAGTGAAAATGGAGTATGGAATATTTTTGGCGGGAAACTTCCCTGGGGACCTGAAGCAATTGTTTGTGATGATCCAAATTTTCAGGGTCGTGGAAATCCTTCAAGTGGTATGATTATGATTTATGAATAATTGATTATGTTTATACCTCTCTAAAACAAATATAAATATGGATTATAGATTCTATGTTTATGTAAGGATATGTGTTTTTCTTGTTATGAATTGCAGGTGACATATTTCATGCTGCACCAAACATTGATCATTCCCAGGATTTTGTACGAAATGATGTAAAACAGTGGCTGAACTGGCTTCGGAATAATATTGGTTATGATGGGTGGCGCCTTGACTTTGTGAGGTCAAAGGCTATTTTGGTCTTTTTTTTTTTTTTTTTTTTTTTTTTTTTTTTTTTTCTTACAAGCCGATTCTTATGTATTTATGTTATCTCTTAATTTATTCATCTTTATAGGGTTTCTCAGGTGGATATGTTAAAGAATACATTGAAGCTTCAAATCCTGCATTTGCCATTGGAGAGTATTGGGATAGTATGGCTTATGAAGGTGGTAATCTGTGCTACAACCAGGTAACTTTTATATGCATTTTTCTTAGATACACATAAAACGTCACATGGAAAGAACAGAAACATAAAACTGAAAACTTGAAAAGTGAAGCTTTTTTCTAGTTCTTGTGGTAATCTGTGTTTGTTTTGGTGTTTCATTTAAATTACTCATTAAGAGCTGATTTGGATTATTAATATGT